AGACTTATTTATTATATAGATTAGAGTAGTGACTCGTCCTTTTAACGTAAGATTAGGAGCGTCACATTGGGTTCTTGGGTAAAGGGACTGATAGTTGTTACGATAAACATGTTACGTTGTATGGCAATACATAAGTTTACCGTCTACTTCATGATATTCACAAGGTAACTGGCATAACGCTTTTTATTTCCCCAAGGGTAGGCAGACACGCACATTACGGAACTTAATGGCACTGTACAATGTAACACCCACTTTTCACTATTTATGTTATGAGTTCCATGTAATACGGGTTGAGTCTATTGCCATATACCGGGCACAATTTCAGACTTTGTGCTACTACTGAGACTTTACCAGTGGAAAATCATCGAATGACTGCTCCCGCCTGGGTGAGGCGGAAGGGAGTGTCAGACTCTTACTGACTAAAAACCACCCCGTTCCTTCTCCTGTACGTCGAGCTGGAGCCCTGGTTACCCATTAGGTTCTCCGCGACTCCGAATCGGCATCGGCCCTATTGGGCCCCATCTGTGGTGGTCTGATGGCTTTTTGAGTACCCTCCGCCGTACGCTCGGGTATTGAATAGGTATTGTGTCATATAATTACTTTAAACTTCATTTACTCAAAAGTAATAAAATGTGGGCTGGATCTTTTCTGCATAACAAGGTTCAATTTTATAGATCTTATGAAGTTTTCATAACATGGTTTTAGTTAGAATATTTTTATTATCATCGGTGTTATTCTACCTAGAAGAAATACATTACATTAATATTTTCCATTAATTTATTATTCTTACCTTTTGTCCTACATTTAAATAATTAACAGTAGAATTATAAAGTATTTTTCCTGCCTCCTTTGTATTGTTAAAGATTGGCGTAGTGCCCGGCGTATGGTAATACGTTCATTTCTGACATTTGATTCATAATAGGCTCACCCTCTACATTGGACTCATAACATTAATAGTGAAAAGTGGGTATGACATTGTACAGTGGCATTAAGTGCCGTAATGTGCACCTCTGCTAGTAAGCAGAGGAGTACCTCTAGCGATAAAATGCGTGATGTTATATTGTTGTTGTAGTATCATAATACAACTGGTGAGCATTGCTGTTACATTTAGTATGCATCTCTAAATCGAATTGTTTTTTATGCTTTTTCTTCATTTTTTTTTTCATTCGTTCTATTCATGTTCTTTATTTCTTATTTACTCTATGCTGTACATCTCCAAATTTTTTTCCTGATAATACAAATCAAAAACGATAAATAAATTAACTAAAACTCACGGGCTACTCTCGTAAATATACTGAGAAAAGCTCTACTAGTTTCGAACCACAAGGGGTTCTTCCTCGTGTTGCGCAGCCTACTGACATCGCTGCGCCCGTGCACGCGACGCGTAACCTGCGATTTTTAGTTAATTTAGATGTCTCACGATAGATATTATAAAAAGATAAATAAATTATTTATGGTTGACGTATTTTTACTTAAAACTCACACTGAAAGGAATCGCCAGGATGTTGCGCAGCAGCTATTCATCAACCGTACAGCTTAATAAGTTTCAACAAACAAATTATAGTAAGTAAGTTCTTAGTAGATGGAATATGCAAAACAACTTTTTTTTAAATCATAAAGTTCAGGAAATATAGACATGTTTTTATGCTGCTATATTTGTATGTTAATAGTAGTTTTTCTAAAATATACATAGCAAGATGTTTCCGTATCGGTTACCTTCATAATCTGTCAATTACTATGGTTATTTTGCCGGTGTATTCGGTAGGATAAACAAATGGTCTTTGTTCATTTTATATCGACACAAAATTAAGACCATAATAGGGTAGATGCCTAATTTTTATTTTAATGTCCGTCTGGTAGATTATTTTGAATCATTAGTCACGTATTTTTTTTGTCTTACAATAACGAATACTTTCAACGATGTATTGATTTGAAATGTAGCGTGACGTCACTTCTATTTACATTTTATACGTAGAAAAATCCTGACAATCCTACGGGATCGGAGAAAACGGGTTTGCACGTACGAAGTCGCAGGCAGAAGCTTATTATACTTACTTAGAATAATTTATCTAACCACAACCTAAGTGGTATCATTTTCATATTACCAATCATGTTTCCGTGTGCACGTATGTCATCAGTTATCGGAATGATTGCCCCGTAATTGACTTATGACATGACAGCCATTATAGAATGTAATAAAAATGATCACTATGGATGGACTATAATGTCTATTATTGTTTTTTTAGTATTTCTGAGTAGCTACTTACTTGAATAATGTAATATACTGTCATATAAATCTTATATTACTACATAAAGCAGAAGTGTTTGTTTCAACGCGGTAATCTACGAAACTACTGGTTCAAATTGAATAATTCTTTTTGTGTTGGACAGACCATTTATCGAGGAAGGCTTTAGGCTATAAAACATCACGCTACGATCAATATGAACTGAGCAGAGCACGTTAAATCGTGTGAGAGAAGCTAGTAGTGTAATTATAAGACTGTCTTGTTGAGATCTAATGGTGGCAGGGTCAGCTGTCGAGCAAGAGGTATACCAGCTACCAACTGCTTACTTAACCGTGGAGGTTTTAACGGGTTACCGGGGCTCCGGCTCGAAGTGCAGGAACGGGGTGGTTTTTAGTCAGTAAGAGTCTGACACTCCCTCACGGCTCACCCAGACGGGGGCAGTCATTGGATGATTTATCACCTTAAAGCAAAAATGTTTATCAAAGAATTGTCTTTTAAGATAGGTGCATACAGATATAGGTGTTTCAAATATTTAAAACAGAGCGCTATGCTATGCCCGGTGGCGTACAATTTGCGGTGGACATAAGGCTCAAAATTGCATATTAAAGTTATACAAAAGACTTAATTTTTACATTTTGATAAATAAATATTTATTTTTCTGTTAGCATGCCATGAAATAATATTATCATAACATTTAGAATTCAGAATATTTTCATTAAACTGTCAAACACCAAGCGGTCACCGGTGACCGCGACCTATTGTTCTTTAATTGTGTCTATAAAACCGGTACTCGACGAGTTAAAATAATAATAGAAATCTATTGTTTAAATATTAGTAGGTACCTATGAATTTAGAATTATAGAAACATGACAACTTATTTGCATACAAAGTTTGGTTTGAGAATTTTGTTTGTTTTATTTTTTTGTATTTTATTTGCAATTACGTCTAGACTAGACGTCTAGTAATAATTTAATAATTGTAGGTTGACATTAATTTCGTATTGGATTAACTCTTTGAGTACCGTCATTATAGACACAATTATAGAACAATAGGTTGCGGTCACCGGTGTCCTCGCTGTGTTTGACAGTTTAAATGAAAAATAACTTTAAAACTTGTAGTTAGAAAATTCATGTGACGCAATATCAGTCCTATGATAACTCAGTCTCAAACGTATCTACTGCTAAAATATGTTCATTTGGACTGCTATTAAAGATTTATCAAAGTCCTTACTAAAATGTTCGAACGACCTAAAATATCTGAACCGATACGACCTTCAAACCCTCAAGAAAAGAGCGTATTCCTTTTTAAAAGGCCGGCAACGCACCTGTGTCTCCTCTGGTGTTGCGGGTGTCCATTGCCACATCGCTTACAATCAGATGATCCGTCTGCTCGTTTGCCACTTATTCTATAAAAAAATGTCAATGGCAAAATTATTATTGGCGTTAGAAACCTTAGACAAATATTTTAGTTAATAATTATGTTTTCTTTATTGTAACATCACTCGCTAGCGTTTTCCTCGTCAAACAGTTACGTAAGTAAGCCATAATAATTAATTTAGTGTCTCACGTAAGTTAAAATATAATAATACTAGCTTTTACCCGCGGCTTCGCTTGCGTCACAAAAGGATAAAAAGTAGCCTACCTATGTGACATATACCAATACACACAGCGCCATCTATACCAATCATTTCGTTTCGAGAATATCAAATTTTTCCGGAATAAAAAGTACCCTATTATTTAATCCGGACTTCTAACTTCACATCTGCAAAAATTCAAAGCAATCGGTTAAGTAGTTACGGCGTGAAAGTGGAATAAACAAACTCACTTTCCGATTTATAATATTATAGTAAGGATTTAGTCATCGATGTTATTAATCAAACTAAATGTAAATAAAAAAGTGTGACGATTATCATTGTAATGATACCTCTGCATGTGTGTTTATGTTTTCAGTATAAAGAAAAAAAATCACTTAGCTATAAGAAAAATATTTGCGTGTATGCTAAACTTAATAGGTTTCAGTTCGTGCTAACATCACCTTGACCAGTTTACCAACCCTGGCATTGAACCTAGCAACGTTTGTTCAGTCATAACTTAACTCGACTTAGGTAATCACCTAAATCTTGTTGCTCATTATACGTATAATATACGTATGTATTTTTTATTTGGGTGTCGTTTTTTCGCTTAATATTTTGTTGAAGTGGTTAAATCTAAGTAATAAGCAAATAAGTATTTAAGTTACAATAGGACTTAATTTCAGTTTTAAGTAATTGTGTGAATTTATGATGCATAAAGACAAATAGATAAGGAACTACATAAGTAGATATTCATAACTTCTTCCATTATCATTATAACAGCCGCAAGTCCACTTCTGCACTTCTTCGCTTCTGCGAAATGCTATGGAGCGAAATTCTTTGCGAGAGTCTGTGTTTCTATCTTGTCTTCAAGGCCCAAGTGAATAGGTTGCTTATGAGACGACGTACTCCACTCGTAGACCGCATCATCGCTTACCATCACGCAAGATAGTGGTCAAACGTCGGCCCATCAAATTTATAATTAAAATAATCTTCATATATAGCCCATATATAGTCCAATGTTGGATAATGGATCTACCTACTATATACTGGACTATGGATCTTGGGTTGGAGATTTTAATTTTCTCCAACTGGTTATTAACACTTAAAACATCAACCAACAAAACAGTTATTCTTTTATTTGACTTGATTAACCAATCTATCCTCTTGTTGCAGATTAAAAAATGCCAGCGTATGACAATGAGGGGGCGACGATATCCATGGAGGATGTCAGGCCTCCAGAACAGCCGATCACTATCAGCACCATTGAAGAGGAGCTCATTGCCAGAAGACACAAGATGTTCAAGACACAGAAGTCCACTGTTGCTTCCAGGTAAGTCTTTTATTTTATTCATTTATATATTAACTCTTTAATGCTCACAAAAATAAGGTACATATGGCGGAGTTAATGCCATATGGCATTTTCTCCCAGTCAACCTTTGGGTTAAATAGAGAATTAGCGAAAATAGGCTTGTGTAATATGCAGTAAATTAAACCAAAATAAAATAACTAATAGTAATTATAAATACTGTATAACATATTTAAAATAAATATAGCAAAATATATAATAAATACAAAAAAATTACATATATAACTACATACCTATATCTTTTGTCAATTCTTCTGTAGCGATTGTTAACAAAATTAACATATTTAGTCTTGTTTTGTAGGGAATTTCCATTGGGACTCGATTGATATGCTTTAAATTAAGTGTGGGAAAGCCATGCTTCGGCACGAATGGGCCGGCTCGACCGTAGTGATACTACAGCCTCACAGAAAACCGACGTGAAGCAACATTTTGCGTTTTGTTTTATTGCGTGACTTAGCAATAAGGATGTTACATCGAAACAGCCAAGTTAAACTACAAAACTTATGGTTCAGAGGCATCAATGATACCTACATAATTATAAGTGTCTTAATCATGGCCCAAGGACTATCCAATCCATTCAATACAAGTATTGGATTGAGAATACCTAATGTGAAAGAAATAAACTAAAAGGAAATCTAGTATCAAAATATTACATTGACATTTCCTCGAAAATCGTTGTTTTCATAACATAACATAACATAACATCACGCCTTTTATTCCCCAAGGGGTAGTCAGAGGTGCACATTATACCACTGTATAAGTTGACACCGACTTTTCACTATTTATGTTATAAGTCCCATGTAATAGAGGGTGAGCCTATTGCCATATACCGGACACAATGTTTACTTTTTTCATAAACTTGTTTATTCTCAAAAATATTAATGAAGTCGTCTTTCTTTCTAGAAAACAACAGGCGGTGTGCGTCAGAAGGGCTCACAAGAGATATGGAACACAGAAGAATCCTAATATTATTCTAGATGGTCTGAACATGACAGTTCCTAAGGGATCTATGTAAGTAATGCAATTCTTCTTTAAAGGTTAGATATTTGATTCGATTTCGAAAAATGCTGACGAGACGGGTTTAACAGTAATTTTGTGTTTTAAAAAGTCATCTAAACTCTTTTAACTTTAGAAGAATTTGCGAAAATATTTCTAGAAAATAATATGCGTTAAATGAAATCCAAAAGTTTCCAATTTGATAAACGGCCAAAGTAATCTTGGCGAATATAGTGTTGAAACATTTTGGAATAATTTTACTTTAATGACGTAAAACTTAACGGTTTCATTTTCAGTCTGTATACCGAGACTTAAAATTCTATAAAACTAAAGTTTTTGCATCAGATTTTTTAAGACTGCCTCGTTAGCCGAGTTGTCGCAAGTGCGACTGCCGGCCAAGGGGTCTCGGGTTCGATTTCCGGGTCGGGCAAAGTATGACTGGGATTTAAAAAAAATCTTAGTAGTAGCACGAAGTCTGTAATTGTGCCCGGTATATTTTTAATTATTTGCCTTGAGTTAGGATTTGGATAACAACCTATGAGAATGAATAACTGGAATACATACCAACTTTTCAATACATACGGTTATGAGTCCCATGTCGATCCAATTAATCCTCAATTAGGCACTTTTGAAACGTCAAAAATTGAATTATCCGTCCGTCTGTCTGTCAGTGTAGCTAGGCGCTCGTTCAAAGTGTAGTTTCGAATGGAGAAGAACTCTTTTAAACTCCATCAGACTCCATTTTAGATCAATAGGTAATCAGAAAACCAATTTAATAGTCCTTACCCACCCACTGTGGAATACCGGGCCACAATCGTCGCATAAATATGTCAATTTAAATTCAAATAAATCATTGACAAACAATCACATTTTTAAAAGCAGAACAATCTTTCAAAAATAAAGTGGTACAGCAAAGTTTAACAAAGTTTTATATGCAGGAACCGATTCTTGTGTCGGTTTGTGCCGTCCAACTTTTGCTATTTTTGTATTCACTACAGTTCTACTTTCGTTCTACACAATTTTATCGAAGGCAACGTGAATAAAACTTTACGTTGCATCCAATAAAGTTTCTTTTTTATTAATTACTTTTTTAATAATTCAATTTGACTGACTTGACTGCGTGGTTGGTTCGGTGGTTGGGCAACTGGCTGCCGCGCAACTTGTCGCGGGTTCGATTCCCTACGGAGCAACTCTTTGTGTGATCCACAGATTGTTGTTCCGGGTCTGGGTGTCATGTGTACATACACATGACACCCAGACCTAACCCAGCCCAAACATACAAGTTCACATGAACTACAAGTTCATATGAACTACAAGTTCATGTGAACGCACCCACGACACAGGAGAAAATCCTAGTCTGGGGCAACGTTTAAAAAATATTGGATGTTTCATATCGTCTTGTTTATTGAATAAGGTTGTAAGTGTGACTGCGAATCAAAAAAACATCAGTTCAACTACTAGGTTGATCAAATTACAATATTAACCAAATCATTAGTCTTTGATAATGTTCTATAAAGCACAGTGCTTGAAATTGTAGATAGTGGCATTTTTACAGTGATTCAATTACATACGGTACTGTACGGAAGGGAAGATAAGTTATCATCCCCTTTGAGAGGTTTTTTTAAGGTACCTTGAGAAATATTTGACCTTCATCTTTTGTTTTCCAGATATGGTCTTCTCGGAGCATCAGGGTGTGGAAAGACCACCTTACTATCCTGTATAGTGGGCAGACGAAGACTGAACTCTGGTGAAATCTGGGTGCTAGGTGGAAAACCTGGCAGTCCTGGAAGCGGAGTACCTGGACCCAGGATTGGGTATATGCCTCAGGTTGGTTATAATATATATTTTTCTAAAAAGTCAAAAAAAGTCAAAATTATTCATTTCAATTAGACGAGAAAGGCACTTTTGAACATCAACAATAAAATTAAAAGTGAAGCTATTTGCTCATTCCAAGGTTCCTATGGAGAAGAACGAGCAAGAAACTCCATACTCTTTTTCAATCAGGTTCACAATACAATTCTCTAGTTACATAGTATGCTGTTTGGATTTTGCGAGAACAATGTAACACTAAAATCCAGTCAAAGTGATCGAAAAAGAAAATAACCTTAAAGACAATAATAATACAGTCTTAAGCTGACCAGTCCCAGTTGACGGCGCCCATTCACGAACATGACACGTACACTAGCACCGTCCAACTCAACCATATTGTAGGGAATCGAGCGACCCACTGCACGCGCCACCGCCAATGAGACCTTTGAGTGAGCATGACAATTCCAAGCTGACTCTAGATTAGAATAACTGTATTGCTGCTGATGTTAAAGCTAATAAACTAATATCAGATACCGTAGCAGGGAGCAGGTATCGTAAAAAGCTACTTAGGGACTACTCATTCAACCTGTCTTATAATATAAGACATAACGTTTTTTCTATTGTGTAATAAACCTGCACCTTTTAAGTGCCTAATAAGCGAGGATATTCTTGTTATTTCTCTTATGTGGAAATCACAGTCTAGTGGTCTCATGAAGAAAATGGACAGATGTTGAAAATGGTGACTAACCATTGACTTTCCGACTAGACCGAAGTCTTCATACAAGTTAAATTAATATTCCTCTCGAGGCGATCCTTACGCGTCTACAACGACGCAGGCAAAAACTGGCGATACATAAATAGCGCTTCACTGATCTAACCATAATTTATCTCATATGTCATATTTAACTAACCTTACCGACATACAAATAAGGTGGATTTTCCTTTAACATTATTAAGGTTGTTAGGACCTTTTGGCTTTGATAGTTAAGGAAGATATTACCTAGATATTAGTGGGTAAGTCACAAACAATAAGTGTGGTCTTATATATATATATATATATATATATATATATATATATATATATACATCCTAGAATCGTTTTGGCGTCACACATGTCGCGCATCATTACGACGTCCCCCAGTTCCCGTTAATTTTTTTTATATGTCTTGATGAATATTGCTTAGTTATTCGATTTCCAGCTTTGTAGGATACGTCATTTTCCGATAATTTTATTTTTCGCGATATTCTTCTTGCAGTCATGCTGCAACATTTTTGAACCCCAAACCATCGTGATAACTAATTGGGCTCCTAGATATATTGATCGTGATTTAACCATGGCTTCGGCTAATTAACGTCCTCACAGCGTGGATGGTATTTGCGAGTGCAACGTTGCCAGCTTTGGTTCACTTGTCTCTTTCTTTTCCTCTCTCTTGTCACTCGTCTGGGACAGAGTTTTAACAGTATTACAATATTCGTAAAATCTATCAATACATATACTAATGCCCGATATTGGTATAATATTGGTAACAAGATGCAAAAAAATTGAGGTTTCTATGAGATTTTTACATGAGAAGATGCCGCAGTAGGAATAACGTATTTTTTAAATGTTTGCCTAGTCTATTCCATACATAAATACAAATCGGTTCAGCCCGTATGTGATCGGCGCGGCGTACCGGTTTTACAAATTTATCTAAAGAAAGAACTCAGAACTCGATTTTTATTTCAAAGCAAGCAAGAGTAAAATACGTGAAAGTTTCTTCCCCAGCGGTCATCATGTAAGATCATCTATAACTGTGAAAGATCATCTAGCTATTGGGCGTCCGTATATAGTTATTAATCATCATCAGCCTATTTAAGTCCACTGCTGGACTAGCACCATCTACTGGGCTACGTTAGGAATTCAAAAATGGTCATGCAAATTTCAGTTGACCCAAACGCTATGGTCATCAAGTAAAAAGCTACATCACTATACTGCTCACACACGGAAATGGGAGGTCCGTTGATTGCGGATCCTGACAATTGACATAGTAATGGCAGGGGTCTCTTGCAGAGCCTGACGATGGCCATGCGCGCGAAGAAAGTTTCTTCCTCAGCAGGTATCATGTAAGATCACTTAGCTATCGAACGTCCGTATATGAAAGAAAGAAAGAAAGAAAAATCATTTATTTGGCAATTACACGCACAGAAAACAAAGAATATAAAAAAAATAAACTTACAAGAAAAGAGATCAGAACAGACAATATATCAAAACATCACAATATAACAAAATAATAATACGATAATAACAGAATTTTGAATAGACAATAAAAAAAAAATCTAATAAACAAAATAATAATATTAATTTTAATTTGCGCGTGCTAATGCCAAAAGGGCCTCCACCTCAGCATGTAGTTGGACGTTTGTGCCCAACGCTGGTTTTCAGGTGGCACCCTGCAGTGACTCACGGACGGCGGTGCGGCCCCTCAATGAAGACAGAAAATAAACATGAAATTGTATAAATAATATAAATTTAGCTGAATATGTGTGTGTGTGTATATAGCTATTGGGCGTCCGTATATAGCTATTGAACGTCCATATATAGCTATTGGGCGTCCGTATATAGCTATTGAACATCCACGTACTTCCTCAGCAGGTGTCATGTTAGATTTGAGGAGTGGCTTGAGAGACAGAGACGCTACGGCGTCCTTATCTACCGCCTGACGCAGGTGCTTACCGGACACGGAATTTTCGGTAGGTTCCTGCTTCGGATTGGGCGGGAGGAAACGCTCGGGTGTCATCATGCAAAGGGCCACCCGGGGACACGGTGGAGCATACGGTGGCAGTGTGCCCTGCGTGGGCTGAACACCGTCGTGTCTTCAGGAATGTGATCGGCGACGGCGACCTCTCGCGTCCGACACTGGTTCAGACCATGGTACAGAGTGAGGGAGACAGGGATGCCGTCTCCTCCTTCTGCGAAGCAGTCCTGCTAGCTAAGGAGGAGGCGGAGCTCGTGAGGGAACGAGCCTCCTCACGCTCCAGCCGTCACGAGAGACACTCCATCAGACATCACGGATGGAGCTGATGCCCATACGGAGCCACAGGGGACTTAAAGGGTGACCGGGGCTCCGACTCGAAGTGCAGGAATAGGAACGGGGTGGTTTTAAGCCAGTAAGAGTCGGAAGGTACCTGTGTCTGATGGGGCGGGAGGAAACGTCCGGGTGTCATCACTGTGAGGACCGCCTTGAGGACACGGTGGAACACACTATAGCGGAATGCATTGCGTGGGCTGAGCACCGCCGTACCCTCAGGGAAGTGATCGGCGATGGCGACCTCTCGCGTCCGGGCCTAGTGCAGGCCATGATGCGGAGCGAGGGGGACTGGGATGCCGTCTCCTCCTTTTGCGAAGCAGTCAAGCTAGCTAAGGAGGAGGCGGGACGCATGAGGCAGCGAAGCGCTGCCTCCTCGCAACCCAGCCATCGCAAAGGACACACCGGGCGTCGGGGATCGCGGGACGATCTCCGGCCACCGTAAGCGCGGGCCTGCGGACGGCGAGCATGGGTGGCTCCCCGTCCGACCAGAAACAGACCTGAACGTGCGGCGCGTCGCGTTCCGCGCGCGCCTCAAAGAGCCATAAAACCACCACAGATGGGGCCCAACAGGGCCGATGCCGAGTCGGAGTCGCGGAGAACCTAACGGGTAACCGGGGCTCCGGCTGGACGTGCAGGAAAAGGAACGGGGTGGTTTTAGTCAGTAAGAGTGACACTCCCTCCCGCCTTACCCAGGCGGGAGCAGTCAATCGATGATTTTCCCCGCTTAAAAAAAAAGTCAGTAAGAGAAACTTCCTCTGAAACTTCCACTCCCCTCACCAGCGCGGCCGCCGGCGGCCGGCAAAAGGCATTTTTTTTTAGGGGGGAAAATCATCGAATGACTGCTCCCGCCTGGGTGAGGCGGAAGGGAGTGTCAGACTCTTACTGACTAAAAACCACCCCGTTCCTTCTCCTGCACGTCGAGCCGGAGCCCCGGTTACCCGTTAGGTTCTCCGCGAGCGGCAAAAGGCATTAGATAATTTTTTATCGCTCAAAAAAAAAAGGTATCATGTTAGATCACCTAGCTATTGATCGTCAGTATATTGCTGTTGAACGTTCGTATATAGCTATTGGGCGTCCGTATATAGCTATTGGGCGTCCGTATATAGCTATTGAACGTCCACGTATAGCTATTGGGCGTCCGTAATTAGTAAAGATAATAAGAATATATCTTATTACTAGAATGGTTTTATTAAGTATATAGTATGTTCAAAACTTCTTTCATTTAGGCTGGTTTCAGAGCTAGAGGATTGGGCAGCGCTGCTGAAATGCCTCGCGCTTGGAGATGATGAGAGCTCTAGCATCGTTTTATTGCGACGCGACTGTCATAGAGGTAGAGGTCCCAGTAGAGGACTTTATCGCTAGAAATTATAATCTACGAGATACACTTCTATTTTAATCTAAACCTTAAGTAACTGAAGACCGCACCTAATATGATCTTTGTGCGCACATATTGTATTGAATTTCAATTTCATTTAAGGCAAGATTCCTAATTTAATACTTCTAGTTGTGGCCACTCGATTAACTCCTCTATTGGATTGTTGCCTGATGCCTCTATTGTTGAAGCCCGCGCTTCAGTCGCGCTGCCCATATCCCCTAGCTTTGAAACCAGCTCTAATTGTATCAAATATTTAATTGGCAGCTTATTGATATGAAGTTACCAATTCTAAGTAAGCAAATAAAAACAAAGAATATGGATATCATTTTACTGCCTCGTTGGCCGAGTGGTCGCAAGTGCGATCGCCTGGCAAAGAGTCTCGGGTTCCATTCCCGGGTTGGGCAAAGTATTACTGGGTTTTTTCAAGAGTCTGGAAGTGTGCCCGGTATATGGCAATAAACTCACCCCCTATTACATGGGACTCATAACATAAATAGTAAAACTGTGGATATTACATTGTACAGTGGCATTAAGTGCCGTAATGTGCATCTCTGCTTACTCCTTCGGGGAAAAAGGCGTGATGTTATGTTATGTTAAATATGGATATCACTTTTAATGAAGTGTTTATGTTTTGTAATCAAAAACATTTATAATTCCTAATTGGATCTTTATAACACGCCAAGGCTAGAAATAAGAAGACAAACGTTGATTGATTTGATCAGTAATACAACATTAATTAATTATTCAGTGTTAGATCTTCTTAACCACATAAATAGATAAAGTTAATAAAATTACGTCAAAATTTATACGGAGACTATACTATCTAAATACACATTTAATACGAGTTAAACTCTGGTTAACCTTTTTTGTGGTAAGACATATAATATTGTCACTTTAGTACTTATTTCTAAGATACTCATTTACAAATTGAGAACAGGGTTGCAGATAAGTTGTCGTAAGTTGCAATCACATGATTATAATAAAATCGGACTCCAAATAATACGCAACACATCCGAAATGTACGACGATGAATATTGTTTTGAATGCGGTAAATAATATTATGACTATTTCCACGGATTTAATAAGCGACTGGCAACGTCGCTGTTATTTTTTTGAGGACGCCAAATACGCGGACTTATAATCAGAAAATCCCAAAAATATACAGCTGTGGATATACGCGCTACAGCAGCGCTCTATCCGCGCTGAGATTTCTTTGGGAACTTTTCAAAATACTATAACAGCCATTGAACCGATCTTTTGGCCTCTGTCGATTTTTAACCTACGTGTAGCCAGGACCAAAAGGACCTAAGTTGCATAGGCCAAAAAGTGGCGTCCGGTATGCGGACGCCAAAGCAGGTGGACGCCAGATTAAATGCACTTTCGCCTTCATGGGACGTCCAATCGATAGCGGGATGTAAATATATATATATATATATATATTCTATCAAAAGTTTTCTAAAGAAGTCAGATGTTCGTAAGTGGGGCCGTAAGAAAGTTTTTCATATAAATCTGCTTAGTACTTTAGTTCGCTAGGGCTGTAATATATCAAGTTGCGTATATTGAGTTTCAAAGGTCAAGTGCTAGGTTTCTGAAGGACTTATTAGGAATTATACATAAGTGAATAACTGTAGGACAATCCTTGGATGTCTTACATTAGTATTGCATTTTGGAAATTGTTAATTTTCCTTACTAATATTATTAATAGGAAATTGTTTGCGGCGATTCGTTTCCGTCAATTTAGCAAAACATATTGACAGTTTATGATACTATTTTGTAACATATGTCAAGTAATGTAAATGAGACAATCGTTATTATGCCAAATAAAATTCCGCCATATTAAAAGTATCGGTGCAAATTCGGGCATGTAAGCGTTCTGCCAATCAATAGAATGTTAAATAATTTTTATGCTTTAAAAATATTCAATGAAAGAAGACTGCTAAATGCGTTATGCCAAATAAAGTTTGGACTATCAAGATTCTACCAAATAGAAGGATAAATATGGTTTTAGAGTAATATAGGTGACATTTTTTTTTGATTGCGTAAATGAAGCCACACGTAATAGCTATAAATGAAGATAAAATTTTTAAATATATACTATGAATAGTCAAACATTTTTTGTTGATGCCTTAAGATCGAATTTTTATTATTATTACTTTTTAAGGTGTAAATATTTTAGTTTTTAGTTAGTTATATTTTAAGTTGTATATATTTATTTTTTCAATTAACTTGAATACAAATGCTTCTATAGATAAAATTAGAAATAAGGAAGTTTTATCATTTAGTATTGTATTATAATGATTTTTCCTAATATTGTAGACAGCAGTCCATTAGCACACTATTCATATTTTTCATACCACTATTTCACAAACGTATAAAACTATAAACACTAAAATAGCAATAGAGATATAATTGTAAATTAAAACACTAGCAAACGATGACTAAAACTATTTGCTAAATTCGATTACCACTTCAATAAAAAATTACTAGTGGACTATTCATTTCATAATTTGTGAGTATAATAAAATGACTGCCTCGTTTGCCGAGTGGTCGCAAGTGCGACTGCCGGGCAACGGGTCTCGGGTTCGATTCCCGGGTAGGGCAAAGTAATAATCTCTGTAGTAGCATGGGGTCTTTTTTTAAGAGGGGAAAATCATCGAATGTCTGCTCCCGCCTGGGTGAGGCGGGAGGGAGTGTCAAACTCTTACTGACTAAAAACCACCGCGTTCCTTCTCCTGCACGTCGAGCCGGAGCCGCCCGGTATATGGCAATAGGCTCACCCATAAGACTCATAACGTAAAGATATCTTCTTGCAATGACTATTGATACATCCCATCACTTTAAATCCTTACCATTTTTGCAAATCGCTAAACCTCTGTCGTCTGTAAAGAATATCCTTATAAAGGTTGTGACAGTATGGTCAACATAGGTCAACAGAATTTAAGTAAATAACTTTGCTTTAAATACAACCTTACTTCATTATATCATTAAGGTCTATTATGGTCTACCAAGTATGTCTTCTACAAATATTTATAGGGTCACACTATGGCATTGTAATCTTTATCCAGACATGCGCGAAGGCTATACACAGGATGTTTCTTAAGTAAATATGTGAGTATGTTGAAGTAAACACGATGTATAGTACAAATAGTTACCATGTACAGTTGGTAGAGGAACTAAAAACCTAGCCTTGGCTAATTTATCTAAATTTCTGATGTTCTATTATAAGTATTTTTGTATCACTTGTGTTTAAATAGTTTAAATATAAAAAAATAATTTAATAATTTTATTTAATTAATTCAATAATTTTGCATGGCGTAAGGCAAAATGTACTGGGACTCTCCATAACCTATAAAACAACATATTTGTTACCTACATTTTTGGCAAATAAATTATTTCTGATTTCTAAGAAATAACTAGAAGATTGACTACTTTATTCTTATTTGTTACTGACTGACCACTGCCTCGTTATTGCAAGTACGACTGCCGGTTTCGGGTTCGATTCCCGGGTCGGACAAAGTAAAACTGGGTTTTTAAAAAAACATTCAGCAGTATCACGGAGTCTGGAATAGTGCCCGGTATATGACCATAGGCTCACCCCCTATTACATGGGACTCATAACATAAATAGTGAAAAGTGGCTGTTACATTGTACAATGGCATTAAGTGCCGTAATGTGTGTGCTCTGCCTACCCCTTCAGGGATAAAAGGCGTGACGTTATATTATGATGTTACTGACCAATATAAAAACATTATAAACAACATGTAACAGTTTGCATCTTTGTCTCTTTCTCTTTGTTAAATCTGTTGTCTCTTATTTAACACGGGTGACACTCGGGGGAGCAGTAATGTTGATGACATACTTATTCTACTTTCCCTGTCCTACCTGGCAAGCAATGGTGTGTTATCTATTTAGGTACTTTTCTTAATGTTACTAACCTCATAGATACTAGTAGTTTGTTCCATCTCATAGCATTCACTTCATGTCGTCGAGCATTTCTTTCTTTACTTAAACAAGAGTTTATTTATTTATTTTTTTCTTGTATAGAAGCACTATTATATATGGATTGTCAGTATCCATATGTGAGGACCATGTCAGACTTAAAATATTTGTTTTCTCTTGGTTTTGTTTTTTTATTTTAGTACGTTCTGTTATTTGTATGTTGCGTCAGGTATGTCTTTACATTATTCTCACATGTGTGTACAAAATTGGAATATGTATCAGAGCAATGTTAAACAGACTTTTTTTTTAAAAGAGTAACGAATGGAGTTTTTTTCTCGTTCTTCTTCACTCGAATCGACATTTTGGAACGAGCGCCTAGCTTCACTGACGGACAGACTGACAGACTATTATTTATTTCATATTTGTTGACGTTTCAAAAGTACCAAATTATGGTTTCATTGAAATAAATGCTTTGACTTTGAGTTTGACTTTGACACATCACAACTAAATCCGGAAGAACGAAGAAGAATTTGCAAAGCCGGAATATAGAGCTATCATTAAGTTAAAGAAACATTAGTTTTAGCAAATATCCGTATGAGGAAATACAAAGAAACAAAGGATGAGTATCGCAAAAGTTATAATAACAAATAATTTGTTGCAGGAAATTGCCTTATTTGGCGAGTTTTCCATTAGGGAGACCCTAATTTACTTCGGATGGATAGCCAACATGCCGACTAAGGAGGTGGAGGAGAGAATTGATTTCTTGATCCAGTTGCTTCAGCTGCCTAACCCCACCAGGTACTTGGGTTTTACTATTGTTGCTAGTGACACAAGCGGGCATTGCAGCCTAAGTACACTGGTATCAGAAGTGTGCTGCAGACCATGTAGGCTATTATTTGATGGGGCCTACCGTATTGTTAATCACCCAATGGCGCTATTGTGAACCACTCGTTCTTCGTCCAATAGGGAATAAGCTAGTGTGACACCATTGGACGTTCAATATCTGACAACTGCTGTGATTGGACAAAAACACCGTCATACATTTGTAAATTCGTCAGCCCCTATTACATTGTAATTTCTAGAGAGAAGGGCTGCCCATGATTAAATAATCGGCTTGATATCTAGAAATCGCACGAAAATAGGTGAAAACCGAGAGACAACCTTGTTGGTCTCAAAAAAGTATTTCCTAAATGCATTTTCCTCAACCTTCAGCAGAACTAAATATTGTAAAGCATAGAAACAAAAAGTCCTAGACTAACTTTTTTATGCAGTAGCCGGTTAACGAGCAGACGGATCACCTGATGGTAAGCAATCACGATCAAAGACAAGACGAGACGACAAGACGCCCCAATACAAGTGCGTTACCGGCCTTTTGGGGATTAGGAATTTGAGGATTGTTAGGTATTCAGGGATTGGGGAGATCGGGGAGGGGGGGGGATAATTGTGCCTCCGGTAACCTCTAAAAAGCAGGGAGAATCATCCCCACAAATAATCTCATCTTATTCACGTATTAAAATATTTATTTCTTACGTTATTGTTTTTCCAATTATAGACAAGTGAAAAACTTATCCGGAGGTCAACAAAGGAGGACATCGTTGGCTGCAGCGCTGATACACGACCCTGAGCTGTTGATCCTGGATGAACCGACTGTCGGAGTGGACCCTGTTTTACGACAAAGGTTCGAAACTATTTTTATTATTAAGTTATGTGTTGGTACGTAACTAATCACATAATATGACTGCACGGTTGGTGTGGTGGCTGGGCAACCGGCTGCCGTGCAACGTGTGGCGGGTTCGATTCCCGCACGGAACAATACTTTGTGTAATTCACAAATTGTTCTTTCGGGTCTTGGTGTCATGTGTATTTGAACTTGTATGTTTGTATAAATGCACCCACGACACAGGAGATAATCCTAGTGTGGGGCAACGTTCCTTTTTTTAAGAGAAAAATAAGTATCATGATCAGGCAATTTTAATGTCTTTGTTCTTTATGGTTAAACAAAAGTCTTCGTTGTAAACATCAAATAAGATGGTTTTTTGGCCATGGCTTCAATCTTATTCTTATAGTAAATTATAGTGTATTGGACTAACAAAGTACCATACTTGTAAGGAATACCTTACTAGTACCAGAACGACGAAAACAATTTTGAGGCAAAAAACAAGAAATTTGAGCAAGCACTCAAGTCATCAAAATTACACTGCAATTTTTATAGCACTATCATTAAACTTAATAAAAAAAGGAGCATCAACTTGTAATTTATTATTAATATTCCATGGAAGAGCATGGTCTAAGTTACCAGTGGTTAGGTCTCCAAAGACAAAAATCTAATCACGATGCGCGCTGTTTCAAGGAGAACTGCCTTCTGTATCAAGCCCATCCGCCTAACGTCAGCCTCCTAAGGTGGTTGACGAGTCTGTTAGGAATAAACCCATTGACCGACACAATATTATTATTAAAAAATACACATATTTAATATAACTATTAAAATAATACTTAGTTCGTTTTAACCCTGCGTGAATTTCTCGTAAAAATTAACCTCGAAGTTCATTACACTTAAAAGTATTCTATCTTTATTTACTGAATTATTTTATTTATAACTGCAAACTCAAAAATACCTTTGATTCGCCCCCAAAATGTTGACAAACTGTTAATTGACTAGATGGATCAAAAGTTTAGCAAACTCTCTGTGAGTTTAAATTAATTTTGTGGACCACTAACTATTTTGGTTAGATAAACTAGTATCTAAAATAAAGAAGTGCAGTTTTATGGAATTTTTGATCGTGTTTTTCAGCATCTGGGACCACTTGGTAGACATCACTAAAGGTGGTCGAACCACTGTCATCATCACGACTCATTATATTGATGAGACAAAGCAAGCTGATATTGTAAGTATTTGCTAGTTGGTTCATTTTGTCATTTTGTAATAGGAGATAAAATTTTCAGTTTATTTTTATTTACCTAATGCAACGGTAAAAGTTAAATTATTTATTTTAACTAGTTACACTAAAAAGACACTCTCATAATCCTTGAGTAGAATAGATTTTTTGTAATCATGAGTTCTTTTTTAGACGTATGTTAAAGATTTCATTAAACCTTGGTATTCAGATAAAAAAATATAGCATTTAGCCTCCTCTAAGTTTATGAGGTGGTGGTGGCCCTTTGCTCAAACTATGTTTTTTTCTAGATCGGACTCATGCGAGGTGGTAGATTCTTGGCAGAAGAATCACCAACAGAACTAATCCGCCGATACCAGGGCGAGAGTTTAGAAGATGTATTCTTGAAGCTGTCAGTTCTACAGAACTTGGGCAAGAGGAGGCGATCCAGCATCCTCGCTGATGTGGTGGAAAGGGTGGAGCTTCCTGCGATACCAGTAAGTAGAAGAAAATGACAACTATAAACAATTTTCTGTAATTTAAAAATACTTGAAAAATATTTGCATAAGTCACTATCAGTTTTGAAGACAGTTTAGACTACCTAGCATCATTTTGCTTCATTTAAGAACAGGGCATAAGGGTGAAGCCATGTGTTTGTATGCGATAAGCCAATAAACGAATAGACGGATCACATGATGGTAAGCAATCGGCGGCGCCCATGGACACCCGAAACATCAGAGGCGTTATAAGTGTGTTACCGGCCTGTTGGGGATTAGGAATTTGAGGAATGTTGGTTTTTTTTTATGGCCTAAGCGGGTAAACGAGCAGACGGATCATCTGATGGTAAGCAATCGGCGTCGCCTATGCACAACCGAAACACCAGAGGCGCTACAAGTGCGTTACCGGCCTTTTGGGATTAGAAATTTGAGGATAGTTGAGGATGCAGGAATTGGAGTGATTGGGGAAGGGGAGAGTAGTTGGGCCTCCGATAACCTCACCCACACGACGAAACACAAAGTAAGCCTTGTTTCACGTCGGTTTTCCGTGAGGCCGTGGTATCACTCCGGTTGAGCTGGCCCATTCGTGCCGAAGCATGGCTCTCCGACATATGTTTGTTATATAAAATACTTAATATTATATTTTGTGAGAGGCTTTTGGGCATACCTATGATAGTGGAAACTGAAAAGAACTAACCAATAATGAATAAATTACAGAATCCAGCAGCAGTCGACTTAGAAGAAGCAGAAATTGGTGAAATATCTGGAGAATTCGGTGACAACGTGTCCATGAGCAGTAAGGGTCGAGTGGTGGTGACTCCTGAGCTGATCAACCCCATAGAAGCCATGCCTCCAGAAGAAAAGCCGAGAAGGAGTATGGAAATGTACATGCCGATGAAATGGCATCACATGAAGGCATTGATATGGAAGAATTTCTTGAGTTTGTTTAGGAATTTTGGGTAAGTTAATATTCTTGATACATTTTTTTAGACCAAGATGTCTCAGTCATATGTATATGGACAGTAAAACTTTTTACACCTTTTCAGTTACATGCTTAAAAATCTCAAATATTTGTAACGAAAATGTATTTCTATTTTAAATAAGAATTTAATTTACCATAATAAATATGAATTCCAATAAATAAAATGTCTTAACTGATTTTACTAAGACATTTTTACATCATATTTAATTAAACTTATCATAAATATTCTTCTTTTTCAGCGCCCTTGCCTTCCTCCTCGGTCTCCCAGTCTCTCAAATGATATTTTTCTGTGTCGCCATTGGTCACTACCCTGTCGGCTTACCGATAGCTGTGGTGAACTATGAAGTTAACTCCACGGATCCTCTCTGCGACTATAATAAAAACGTGTGTCCTCAAGATCCTAATACGTACGAATGGAATCTAACGAGATTTAGTTGTGAATATTTGGACTTTTTGTCGAAGAGACAATCTAATTTGGTAAGTGATTGTTATTTTTTCTTAAGCAAGTTAGTAATAGGGTTGTATTTACTGAGTTTTTAACATAACATAACATCACATCATCAATAGGCTCATCCCCTATTACATGGGACTCATAATATAAATAGTGAAAAGTGGGTGGTGTTGGCATATACCGGGCACAATTCCAGACTCCGTGCTACTACTGAGATTTTTTTTGAAAACCCAGTAATACTTTACCCGACTCGGGAATCGAACCCGAGACCACTTGCCCAGCAGTCGCACTTGTGACCACTTGGCCAACGAGGCATTATTTTCTTCCTTTTCTTACTGAGATTATCTTGAGTAAATTAGTAGATTGTTTTTTTATTATGTTCTGATTACTATTGTACATAATAAGTATTATCTAGAGCGATTGTGTAAACTGTCCTCCACTATGCTGGCTTGGTATTATAATTATTTGTTTTTAACGTCACTAAAAACTATCCGCGGTTTCCAAAAACATATCGCTATGAATGTAACAGTTTCTTTTTGAAGCTTGTTAACTAATTTAAAATTCCAAATAAAAGATTCCTTCTCGACTCTTACAAAATCATAAGGTCCCATAATAAATTCACCATCTTCTTCCTCCAGATTTCATACCCAACCAAAGAGATAGCAATGAATGAGGCCCAACATGGTAAAGCGCGAGTGGTGCTGGTATTCCACTCCAACTTCTCCGAGTCTCTGCAGCTGAGGATCACGGACCCCAGACATACAAACAAATGGACTGTCCAGAATTCCGATATTGAAACCCATATGGATGATACTGGTGAGTTCTTTATACCTTTCTATGTTATTTTAGGAGGTATGTAAATTAGACGTGAAGCAACGCTTGCGTTGTGTTTCGTCGTGTGAGTAAGGTTACCGGAGGCCCAATTACCTTCCCATTCCCCAATCTCCTCAATCCCTGAATCCCCAACGATCATCAAACTCCTAATCCCCAAAAGGCCGGTGACGCACTTGTAACGCCTCTGGTGTTCCAGGGACGACACCGATTGCTTACCATCAGGTAATCCGTTTGCTCGATTACCGGCTTAAGTATGCCAAAAAAAAATTGCCATTTTTTAAGGGTACCTCTTTGGTTTTGAGAATGGGGCGTCATATTTATTGTTATAAAGTGAGCTAAGTGAGCGATCAAATTAACAGAACACAGTGTAATCTATTTCATTTTAGTCTTGAAGTAAAATAAAGAAAAAAAGAAAGATAGAAAGAGAGAAAAACATTTATTCAGCACCAGGCACGATGTTGTTTGGTAATATAATAATTTTGCAAAGAAATAAAATGGATAAAAAAAAAAAAAAAAAAATTCGAAAGCGCATACGAACTTATAGTACTTTATCAAAACCTCCTTGTCATAGAAATGTTCATGGTTCCTTCTAATAAACCTGGACATTTCATAAGTAAACTGAGATGTCCAGCTTGCCCCCTAAATGTGGTCTTTACGCAAAACCTCTTATCTAGAGGAGACCGGGCGTTGGTTGCGTTGCGTTACCGGCCTTTTGGGGATTTGGAATTTGAGGATTGTTAGGGATTCAGGGATGGGGGGGATTGGGGTAATTGGGCCTCCGGTATCCTCACTTACACGACGAAGCACAACGTAAGCGCTGTTTCACGTCGGTTTTCTGTGAGGCACTCATTCCGGTCGAACCGGCCCATTCGTGCCGAAGCATGGCTCTCCCACACTTAAAATTTAGTTACTAGACTATTACAAAACCTATTTTAATGGCCTCTACAACTAAAGTAAAACGATTTCCAACTATGTAAGCTCTATTCACAAATGCATAAAGGATCGCATTTATTCATATTCTTTTGCATTTAAAACACGCCATCAGGCGTTTGATATAAATTTCCCGTAGGAAATGGCTTGGTATTGTTGTCAGTTACATTTTGGACGTTATGTCTTCCGTTATAGGAGTGAATTTGGGATAGTGTGATCTGTTCGTCTATTCTCAGTTGCAGATAATTAGTACAAGACTCTGAATTATACGGAGCTTACTCTGATATGTGTATTTGTTTCACAAAATATTGTCGTAGCTCGCGATTTAGTTTTTGTTTTGCATCGTTTACTATTAATTGAGCAATGTTTGTGAAACTAGCTGCTTCTACGCGGTGCCTATTGATCGTAGTGTGATGTTTTATAGCCTACAGCCGTTTTGAAAAAAATGGGCTATCCAACACAAAATGAATTTTTCAAATCGGACCAGTGGTTTCTGAGATTAGCGCGTTCGAACAAAAAACCAACTACTAAGCTTTTTATAATAATTAAGATGTAAAGTATTTGTAGGAAGCCAATAACGTTATTTCTATACCAGCTCAGATACAGAAGCAAAGCAGTAAGCAAAGTAATGCTAGCATGATTTTGCAAAACTTTCTTTTCTTTATTCATCGTGGGCAGAGTAATTTTTTATGGGACAAGCCCGCCACAACCTCCCAATACCGATGCAACTCCTGTACGCCAGGATATACAGTAGATACAACCATGAAAACACCGGGACACTGAAGTCCATCGCGTCTCTGGGATATGAATATCTTGGTTTCTGCAATTAAGTGAAGATATTATAAGAGGAAAGGAAACAAAACGATAGTTTCCACCGTTGGCTGAGCCAAGGTTTACTTACATTCTTTTCATATCTTTGCTAGTTATCCATATATGAGTCCTATTCTGACCATCTTTCGGAGTTGTGAAGAACCTAACGGGTTACCGGGGCTCCGGCTCGAAGCGCAGGAGAAGGAACGGGGTGTTTTTTAGTCAGTAAGAGTCTGACACTCCCTCTTGCCTCACCCAGGCGGGAGCAGTCATTCGATGATTTTACACCATTAAAAAAACTGGCTGTCTTATTATTAAATACCAGACCTGGAAATCAAACCCAAAAACTCCTTTAACATTTAATCACATAAAGTTAAACCCCATTTAAGTTTATGGTGTACATGGTTAAAACAATCAATGGTGTTGTCCAATGGCTGGAGTATGGAAATGCCCCATACCCTAATCTAAATGCAAATGATACAAGGATTGGATTGGACCATCAGGTTTCATGGTGGCCAGTTCATTATGGAATATTACGTAATAACGAAATAGCCCCAATTTGCTTCTGGTACCTTTAGATATTTATTTAGCCATCGGTGACCACCCCTAGTCTTTCAGTGAGTGTCATTACACTAATATTATAAATGTGTTTCTTTGTTTGAATGTTTCTTCGTTTATCACGCTGAAACTACTGAACGGATTTTGATGAAATTTATTATACAGGGTATAGCATGGTTTTAAACTAGTCGAGTTCCTTGTCAAATAATAGGGATGATGACAGGGTAAGAAAATTAAAGATCTAATTAGTCCGTCAGTTAGATAATGAAAAACTATTAGTATTAAGTTGGAGTACTTAAATAAAATGGCGCTAAGTTTAGGAGTGGGAGGTTATTCCGTCATAACGTGCTACAAAAACTAATAACAAACAAAAAGTCAAAACTAAAAAGCAAAAAATAACTATTATTAGTACTGATAGGTTACCCACCCACTGACCACCCAGTTGGTGCCGAACATAGTACCTCCTCCTTTTTTTGAAGTCGGTAAAAATGTGGCACACTGTGACGTCACACGATATTTCAAATTATTATATCTTCGAAAGTATTTAATTTTGAGAGAAAAGAAAAAATACGTGTCTGAAGTTTTAAATTAATATACCAGACGGACATTAAAATAAAATTTAGGAAACTACCCTATTGGTGTGTCGCGGAGAACCTAACGGGTAACCGGGGCTCCGGCTCGACGTGCAGGAGAAGGAACGGGGTGGTTTTTAGTCAGTAAGCGCTCCCTTCCGCCTCACCCAGACGGGAGCAGTCATTCGATGATTTTCCCCCTTAAAAAAAACCCTATTGGTGTTCTATAGTCTCTGCCACCCCCGTGGGAGACAGGTGTGAAGATAACCTTACACCTATCTCAATACATACATATATAAATATGTATGTATTTAATAAAAGGATACTGACTTTGTAAAGTTAAAATCCCAACAACAATAATCAAACCGGAACCTATAGCTAGCCATCCTTTCTTACAGCCACTCAACCAACGAAGGAGTTATGTGATACATATAACATTTTGTTTACTTAGGACTCTGAGACACAGGATTATATTGGCAACGTTGATACTAACGCGATTTTCTTGTTTACCCCGTCCGATGTTGTTCAATGAGTCTATATTAGAGGATCAGAATTCTTTTTGGCCGGCCTAAGGCTGTATAAGTATCTATAGACATCATTTTTTGTTTTTTTTTAAGGTTGTTACTGTGACTTTAAGGTTGTGTACACGCCTGACGAATGTTATGTGAATGTTTAAGTGTGGGAGAGCCATGCTTCGGCACGAATGGGCCGGCTCGACCGAAGTGATACCACAGCCTCACAGAAAACCGACGTGAAGCAACGCTTGCGTTGTGTTTTGTCGCGTGAGGTTACCGGAGGCCCAATTACCCTCCCCTTCCCCAATCTCCCCTATCCCTGAATCCCCCAACGATCCTCAAACTCCTAATGTCCAAAAAGCCGGTAACGCACTTGTAACGCCTCTGGTGTTCCAGGTGTCCATGGGTGACGCCGATTGCTTACCATCAGGTGATTTGTCTGCTCGGTTACCGGCTTATGCCTTAAAAAAAATGTTCCGCAAATTAATACTCATGCAAGGATTGTTAAATAATAAATTTAAATGCACGGGCGCAGCTCGCGGGCAGCTCGCAAACGGCTCTCTCTGCATTCACCAGATGTGGACACACCCTAATGTTGGAAACGTTTTATTATTTTGTTCATGATTTCAAAATTATTAGTAAATACTTCTGGAATTGTGCTCAGCGAATGATGATAACTTTGTGCCGGTGTGATTGACAAATACGTAGCAAGAAATTGTTACGTACATTTCGTAATTGCAATTACTATGCACTTCTTTCTATATATTTAACTAGCTTCTGCCAGTGGTTTCGGCCGCGTTTTCGTATGATAATAAGTAACCTACGTGTTATTCTCGACCCTAATCTATCCCTGTTGCAAATTTCATTCCAATCCCCTGAGCCGTTTTTTATGTAAAGGAGTAATAAACAAACGAACATACCTACAATCTGTTACTTTTATAATAATACCTCTAATTAATAGGATAGAATATTACGTTGATATGTTTTAGACAAAAACAGTCTTCATGTTAAATAAAAACAACATTTATTTCCTCGACACATAACTTTAAAGTCGTAATTCAATCATAATTATATCAGTGCAATTAACGAAAGTATATTTATTTCCACAATATACGGGTTAATGAATAATTTGAAACGCCCTAACTAATCTTTCCATGGAACTCAGTAATATTTTGGAACTAAGTATTTTTTAGTATAAGTGTCTTTTAAGTACTTAATACTTAGTATTTATTTTATTTTATTAAAGTATATATTATTTGCAAATAAGGTTGTTCCTAGTAATAATAATATTATAAATTAAACTTAAAAATACTTACACCTAAAAAAATTATAAAAATGTTCTCAAGTCAATCCTGACTGAACCACCAAAATTAATTTGTTGAAAATAGGCCAAAACACACTGAATCATTAGGACCAGGCCCTTAAGTTCAATGTAACTTCCTTGTCTCAAGCGCCATTATGCGACCCTATTTGTTAAATTAAGTAGCAGTTGTCTTAAATTTCGGCGGGTGCCACAAATTTCGTGAAAAAATGCGTGCTCCGAGGATTTTGAAGGCGACTTTTTTCGGTTTTACGACGAAAAAATGTTGAATGTTCG